GTTGAGAACTACTGTTCTAGATCCTCCAGTCTGACCTTATAGTCAACGTCCTCCAATCATACTAGAGGACTTAGAGATCTGTAGAAAGCATACCTCCCTAGGAATTTTATGGGAATATACTCTCTAGAAATCTCTAGCTTCTCATTGGATTGTTTGGTCAGCTTTCAGGGGAACCTGACCACAGAGACATACTGGAAGGCCTTGACGTTCCAAGAGAGGGCTCTCTCAGCTTAAAAAAATAGCAATGTGTAATTTATGGTTTTTATAAGGATGTGTGAATCTATTCTGTTTTCATTTCAAATTTCGGGTGCCACCATTCTGTTTTTGGGAAGATTCCGAGAGATTAGGAGGGGGACCATTTGGATTTCTAATTTGGGATCCTGTTCCATTTGTGTTTCAGGAAGAATCTTCCCGAAAACAGAATTGGGGAGCCGTTCGAAAACAGAATGAAAACAAAACTTCACACACCTCTAGTTTACTTTCATGTGGGACGTGTGCCCCTAAACCTAGTAAATGTGGAGGGCTGACTGTATTCATTTTAGTTATATCCTGCCTTTTCCTCAAAGCTGGGACTCAAAAACTGTGTATTCTAAATCTAACATCACGTAGTCAGGGCACCTTCAACTCCCAACTTTTTATTCAAGGCAACTGAATAGCTAGTATAATTTGTATAATTCAATTAGAGCCCTAAAAATATTGGGTTGAATCCAGATCAAGCATGCAGTATTAAAGTCAATAAAGGTTTTAAAAACTATTTGTTCCTTTGGTTTCAGTAAGAATCAAAGCAGAGTAGTACCCCTGCATTTGTGGGAACATTACCCAAAAAATTACCTACCGTATATACTCAAGTATAAGCCAAGTTTTTCAGACTTTTTTACTTGAGAATATATGGGGCCTACATCTAATAAAAAATGTGATCGCTAAGAATTTTCTATGTTCTTCAAGAAATTTTACAGGAAGTCCCTAGGGGACTAGGCAAATTCCTAGAGAGGATGCCTCTCTGGGAATTTTCTTGGTCCTCTAGAGCAGTGTTTCTCAAACTGTGCTCCTCCAGGTGTTTTGAACTTCAGTGCCCAGAAATCCCAGCCAGTTTACCAGCTGTTAGGAATTGTGGGAGCTAAAGTCCAAAACATCTGGAGGAGCACAATTTGAGAAACTCTGTTCTAAAATGACTCTATGACCCTTACTACATTGCCATATAATCCAGATTATCAAATCAGATAATTCACATTATTTGCTTTGAACTGGATTATATGAGTCTACATTGCCATATAATCCAGTTCAAAACAGATAATCTGGATTTATATGGCAGTGTGAAATCTAGGTTCTAATCT